TTCCCTACATTTAGAGTCTTATGTAGCTGATGCTGGATTTTAGTAAGTTCTGTCCCCTCTTCTCCACTTGTGTAGTAATGAGTCCCCTCATTCCCACAGGCAACATACCATCTTCTCACAGTCTTCTGTCAAATTATATCATCCATTACTGTTTCACAGCCTTTTCCTCAGCTTTAATGATCTTAGAAAAAAAACAAGAGCACAGCATATGAAATTGATTACCCTATCAAATTTTTTAAATTAAAAAAAACACTATTGATCAAGTCTACGTAATATCAATATTTAATGCTGTAAGTGCCAAGCTAAGTCTGCCAGTTTCTGGGTATTGATTATTCACATAGAAATGTACGCAGTGGCTTTATAAAATTTTCATGGCTTCACAAGAGCAGAGTTCCTAAAGGATGGATTAAGGTGCAACAATATTCTAATCGGTCTGCATCTATATTGGTTTATGTTACACAAGTGTTATTTTCACAGGGACCTTTTACCTAATTGATTCCTGGGCATTGCACATAAAGACTTCTAGATTAATAATATTTTATCTATTGTTCTTGCTTTCTTCCCATCTCTTGCCTTTTACTAGAGCATGGTATTGTAGGTGCCAGCGGCTGTCCAATACCTTGCATCACTAGACATTCTTGAAGAGTATTCGCTGGCTGTTATGCTGGCTGTATGAGGAAGAGTGAAGGGAACATTGAGTGAAGCATCACCAATCTTACCCTCTCCCCTGTCACTCCCAGAAGAAGGGAAAACTGGATTGTGAGCAGTTTCCTGGCTGTTTCCCCACCCCACCCCCCACCCCCCACCCATCAATCCAAGGGCCTAAGTCTAACTGTTAAATCCAACAGCTGCCCAAACTGAGAATTAACTCAAGATGAACCAAGAATTGAAGCTCACACAAAAATCAAAGCCAGACACCCTTGCCAGAATTAAAACTGAACATTCTGCGTCTGCTAGAATGACCACCCAACGGGAAAGGCACTATACAAATGTAATTTGTTGTTGTTGTTGCTACACCGTCTCCTTGTGCTGCTACTGAATTTAATATAGTTTTTAAGGCGTTCACGTAAAGTTTAGGAAATATGAGTTTTATTTCAAAGAATTTATAAGCACACAATGACTGTGAAAAGCCCTCTTATGACTAAGTATTGTGACATTGACAAGGTGTCTTTATGATGCAATTTTCCTTTTGTAAAGTACTTACTGTATATCTTGAACATGACTATACAGGACTTAGCTATAATAATTCTGCCTCCCATCAACAAAGTGACTAGATTTAGGTGGAAGAATTTTCAACCTAGTTTTTAATCCAATTTTTTTTAACATTCAGAGCACTTTGGGCAAAAAATCTTTTGTAATCCAAAGTGAATGTAATATGTCCTTATTTTCTTTTCAAGGAACTTTTCCATAGTTCCTTTGGGACATGTCCATTCAGCTGTACCGAAAGTGGATCAGTGTCTTTTATCTTGGGATACAGGACCTGAGTTCAAATCCAGCTCAAACAGATGGGATGAGGGTCTTTCCTTGCAGACAGCTGCTAAAAATTCAAAGTGAAGTGGGTTTTGGCCATCTCACTGGGCTCCCAATGGACAAGAGTCCACTGGGTAAAACTGCCACTCATAATTCACAACTGGCGTGAATGCAAAAAAAAAGGCACATTAGGATGTTGGGAGAGAATTACTAACAGAGACCCATAAAGAAAGATTTAATGCCATGGGTGCTCAGCGGAAGTAAGCTGTGCTGATTAACTGTTGATCTATTTCTACGCACATCAATTCAACTGTATTTACACTCCAAAGCTGACTGCAACCTGAGAAATACTTGTTAGATTATGACAGTTGCTTTTTCCATTGGTGCTTAAATGAAATGATTCCAACAACAAAAAATAGAGCTGTCATATGCATACTTCAATGATCCTGAACTATATGAAGAGGAGGTTAATAAATAAAGAATTCATTTTGGTTGATTGCCACTCTGTGTGGATATTAATCAAAATAAATATTGGTAATGCTGGGTCTTTACTCACTCTTGCACCGACCGGTGAGTGGTGCAGTATAGCACAGCTTTCTATTAAAGGAAAATAATCTTTAGTTATTTATTGATAGCTTGATGTGATAATAGATTTGCAACCCATTTCTCTTTCCCAGTGCACTTCATTTTGGGGCACACAGTTGGTCTCCCACCAGATGATGGATAAGCAGCAAATTAGATACTGGACAATTAACATCCTCTCAAACACATCCAATCCAGTCCCTCTGTGGTTTCATGAGATATCACCAGGGATATCTCAGGCAATGACCTGAAGTAGAAATGGTTCAGCTGGTAGGTACCAGTGCAGATCATTGTAAGCAATTGACAATATTGATGGCAATTATGGCTGGTTGATTACAGTGCAGTACAGTGGGTCCATGTAACATGGTGTGGTGCTTTTCCTTTGATGGTTCGTGAATGTGGTCTGAAAGCACTGACATTGCACTTGAATTGGTGGCTATGTCTCAGTAATGCAAACTTACAGGAAACATATCTGTTGGTCATTATGGATAAGTAGAACACACTGGAGGAATTGCAAGATTCCAGCAGCTGCTCTGAGACACTTGATGATTTCTCTGGAGATTCTCATCTCTGTCATCGGGAAGATCCCAGTCCATCTTTTTGCTAAGTACAGAGGTGACTTTCATTCTTCAAACGGATTATTCTTCGAGTCACGTTGCCTTCATCTTGACGGGGGTTTGAGGGTCTCAGTCACAGTGGTTAACAGTTCCTGAGCTTATTTTAAGTGTTTGAGCTCAAAGTCAGTGAGGTCAATCGCGTTTTATTGGAAATAAGGTCAATGCAATAAGTTATAAATTCCTTTGAGAGATTTTCTGTGGAGGAAAGAAACTTGCAGAAATTGTTGTACGTGTGAAATCATTGGGGCATAAAGTATTTTTGCTTTAATATTTTAATGACTTTTTAAAGCATGTCATTGAGTAGTCACAAACAGAAGATCCACATTCTCTTTCAAGCCTGACCACTAACACCACCTATGTCCTTGATGTGGAACTAAGAGATGTTAATAAAAGTATCAACTCACCTATGACAGTTCCACTATTTAGTTGTTCAGAAATTACAGGTGAAACGACAGATGCAGGATGCCAGCAAGATTGTGAATACAAAGAATGTACTGCACCCAAACAGGTCACGGAGCCCAATCAATCCTGTGTTTATGCTCTACACTAGTCTCCATCCATTGCTTTACTCCCTTCATAGACTTCTATTCCCTTCTCCCTCATGTGTAGGTCTAGCTTCCACTTGAAAGCATCCATACTATTTGTTTCAATCGCCACTTCAAGCAGAGAGTTCCACAATCACTACTCTCAGTGTCAAGTGGATCCTCCTAAATTCTCTTTTTGATCCCCTAGTTGCAATCTTATATTTCTGTCTCCTGGTTGCTGACTCCCCCAACCGGTGGATTTATGTTAACCTTATCAAAACCTTTTATAATTTTAAACACTTCTATTAAGTCCCTCTTAAACATCTCTTCTGTAGGAACAAAAAAGGCGTAATCTATTTTTTGGAGGGATTATTATTAGGCTCTGTGTGGAGTAAGGAAACTTGCCCAAGGTTTCGCCCTCTGCCTGGAATTGAACTCAGGTCTCTCACTTGCAAAGCGAGTGCTCTAACCACTGAGCTACAGGACTCCAAAGGACATACTATGTTTTTTCCTATAGTGTGGCGACAAGAATTGGACACAATACTCCAAATATGGTCTAACTAAGGTTTTGTATAAATTCAATATCACCTCCTCACTTTTATATTCACTCCTGGATATGATTGAAAAGACGAAAGTGAGATAAATCAAGAAATAATAATAATTGTCTTCAAGCTTAAAAGCTTATAGATTGCAAGAGGACAAGAAGACTGAAGAATATCCTTGGAATGAATGAGTTTGAGTAGGAGGCAGTGTGATAAATTTTGATTTTAAAAGCATGAGAATGAAGGGAAGAATGGAGAGTATTTGGAGCTGGTAGTGACAAGACAGGAAATTTCATGGCAATTTTGACCACAGTGGTGTAGCATCAGTAAAATAAGTAAAATTTGGCAGAACATTAGACTCTCACAAAAAAATCAATTTGTCTTTGCATTTTCCATTAGTCTGAGGTGTATAACTAAATGTGATTCTGGAATAAATTTAAGCTTGTGTGTGTGCAGACTTCACAAGTTCCAGTTTAAGTTCCGTAGGAAGCTGTGTCTGAATTATGTTGGCCTCACTTTGTGACCCATGGCTTCCTGTTGGCTGTGGAACCCTCTGAAGAAAACTCCCACTATTTTCTATTGCGGTTTATCAAAGGTTTCATAAAGGATGTTGCACAGACAGTTCTTGATTTAAAATTATGGTGCGAGTTGTCTGCTAAGAAGAAAGACAACAATAGCCAATTATGCTTGATTGGTTAGACCATTGGCTCAGATAGAGTTATTTTATTTTCATATGCATAGGTTAATTATATGGAGCCAAATAGTTGTCTGTTGGTATTATACCAATGAGGGTAGCCGGTTAAGAGTGGGTAGTGGGGGGGGAAGCCGAACCTTTCATTATGAGATTAATGGGTTGGGTGGAGCCCATGAAGGAGTGTTTTTTTTTACATGTTTGTGAAAAGAATTGGGCTTTCCTATTCCTTCTTCCCTGTTCTTTTCACTCAGCCTTTGTCTCAAATCCCAGCTCACTATTTGCTTCACTTATTTGGATTCCTCTGCATATTATGCGCCTTTTACTGGCAAGATAATATAGTGTTGGGTCATCGCATGCTTCCATGCACTACAAGGCTTAATTCTTTGAAGAAAATCTTAGCACATCATTTTCTGATTATGTGTTACAGGAAATCTCTTGGGTAAGACATTGTAAAGTTTAACGAGCTGGTAAACTATAAATATTAATTGATGGAATAATATCAGTAACTGTGACCAATTCTTCAATGGATGAATGCTCAGTGGTTTACCTTTTCTTCCTCTTCCTTCTCCAGAGACCCTGATGGACACTCGAACTGCCACTGCTGAACTGGGCTGGACAGCATATCCTGCATCTGGGGTAAGATTGTGAGAAAATAGAATCGTGAAAATTACAATGTAGGATCTACTGGAATTAGCTGCCCAAATCCCTGCTTTTTCTCCCTCTATCTGAAAAGAAAAATGTTGGTAATCCACAGCGTTTGAAAGATTAACGTTTTAGGTGTGTCCCTTCGTTAGAAGTCAGCACAGATGAGGAATGAAACAGAGGCAATGTCACAGTGCACAGGGCATTTACTTTCCAGTCCCAGCAGGGAAACATGTTTTGGTTATTATATCTGATGGATCACTTGGTTTGAAGCCACCCTATAGAATGAAAATGGGCTGTACAAAAGCCGCAAGGTGCCAGACTGCTCTGAGTAAATTACATTAGAATACATTAGAATATACAGCACAGAAACAGGCCATTTGGCCCAACTGGTCTATGCCGGTGTTTATGCTCCACATGAGCCTCCGCCTGCCCTTCCTCAACTAAGGGCAGGAGAAGCATAACTCTTTATTCCTTTCTCCTCATGTAACTATCTAGCTTTCCCTTAAATACATCTATGCTATTTGCCTCAACAACTCCTTGTGGTAGCTTGTTCCACATTCCCACTATTCTCTGTGTGAAGAAATTTCTTCTAATTTCCCTATTTGATCTATTTGTGACTATTTTATATTGATGGCCCCTGGTTTTGGTCTCCCCCACAAGTGGAAACATCTTCCCTATGTCTACCCTATCAAAACCTTTCATCATTTTAAAGACCTCTATCAGGTCACCACTTATCTCCTCTTTTCAAGAGAAAAGAGTCCAAGTATGTTCAGTCTTTCCTGATAGGTATAAACTCTCAGTTCTGGGATCATTCTTGTGAATCTCCTTTGCACACACTCCAGTGCCTCTACAACCCTTTTATAATGTGGGGATCAGAACTGCACACAGATTGATCTGAACTCGGGCAGAAATATGGGAGTCTTTGGACCTGAAAAAGGAAAACCTGAAATATTAGCTAAGGTTCCCATTTCTGATCCAGTGACTTCCCTTCTCCACCCCCACCCCTCCCTCACCACTGAAAAATGCAGACATTGCCTAAGAATGTAGTTAGACTCAGTTGTGATCCCCTGCTCGATCAAATAACCAGCCAACACTAGCAATTAGACCTCATGAAGAATGGCTGAGGTACCACACAGACACTGGGACCTGTGGAAATACCACAGAAGAAAATTTGAAGGAGGAGGTGGGGGAAGAGGGCTAAAAAGTTGTATACAATTTCTGTAAAAGCATTAGTTCTAAATATAGGCCAAATGCAACAAGAATGCAAATGTTTGTTTTAGATTTGCCAGGTGAATGGTTTGCATAAAGTACGGTGAGTCTGGATTCCAAGCGTGATGTGTTGTTAAACTAAAGAATGTAGATAATTACTGTTTTCATGACTGGTGAAGTGCAAGGATTTAATGATAGGTTTGAAGATGTTTAAGCAGTTTCCATCTCTTTGGTTCTCTGTCAGCACTTTTGATTTATTTTCCTTTGTACTAGAGTTTGTTCTGCCTCTATTCCCCCTACAGTCAGACAGCATAATTGCTGAACTTGTGGGGTGCTGTAGCCAGCTCTCCTTTGTCCTGCTCATGGTTGCCTTTCGAGAACTGGAGAACAGTCCAGCGAAACTTCACACTGTTCAACTCTGACCTCCTTCTTTCTTCAGACAATATTTCCCCTCTAACAAAGCAGGACCAAAAGCATTGTGTTGCATCGAACATTCATTTGTTTCGGACTGCATCTATTTCTATATATTCCCAAACTGTTTTCAAATAGATAGCTTATCCGATTAATTGTTGGAAATTAATCAAAGCTTTTATTGGGATCTGATCCACGCATCAGCCACTCTGGTGGAGAATTTGTCCAATTCTTCTGATATCTAGGCCAGTTTGAAGCTTTTTTTTGTTTATGATCTCTGCACACGCTGAAAGTTTCCAGCCTTTGCTGGTGGAGATGCGTATCAAATGGATTTGGGAAGTCTCCACCCTCTTCCTCCTATGTGCCGATTTGTGTAGGAGGCTTGGTTCAGGTGTAGTGTTAGTGAAGAGGAGAAATATGTTGCTAGGCATTTAAAATATTCAGTCGCAACCCTGGGATTACTTGGTGATGGTGCACAAAATGAGGCAGAATCTGTTGTCCACACGACTGAAGGACAAAAGAACACTGTAAAATGCTTTCGAGATCCTTGCTCTTTTTTAAAAAAAACTCCTGCAAGGCATTGAACTAACATGATAAATATTACATTCAATTATGATAATATTTTTGTCAGTTATTCAACAGTGTGCAGCAGCAAATTCACTTCATTTATGAGGACTAGATCAGTGCATGTCAACAAATTTAAACACATTTAAGGAAGACGCAGAATAACCCCAAAGCAGCTAGAAGAATCACTGGACTGCCTGGGGAGTATACAATAAAATCAGATTATGCATTAACACAAGGGCCTAATTCAAATGAAATGTTGCCATAAGACATCGATGTGAAGTCATTAGCTTGAACCCCAGCCCCCAGCCGAGTCCTCCCACCCATTAATCATTTGAAAATTGAGTCGAGTCAACAGAAAGCAAATACTGTAGCACCTGACCTGAACCATTCATCAGTCTGTGTCTGACAAAGATTTAAAACCCAGTGCCCGATTGGTAGTTCGACGCATGTTGCATGTCATCTAAATACAGTATTAAGGATGTAACATACATCAAAGCAATCAATAGACTGAATGTTATGGTTGATGCTCTGCTTTTGTGAGGGAGAAGAGACAGAGGAGCATGGAGAGGCGTTTAGAAGGGGTGGAAGCACATGTGGAGTGCAAACATCAGCATGGACTAGTTGTGCTGGATGGTTGTTTTTGTGCTGTGGCGTTTTCTGTCATTCAGTGTATGTAACCATGACAGTGTATGTAATTTGACTGTAATTCAGTGTATGTAATTTGACTGTAATGACTTTTAAAGCCCTCAGTTGGTTCTGTTAAAATATGCAGCGAGTTAGCAAGGTATCTGAGAGCCAAGCAAATGACTGATTCTGTATTATTCATTGGGGAAAAAAAAATGCATTATGTGATCTAATTATCACCAATGATAATCAGCACGTTGCACAACCCTGCACACGCACATCACACACACCTGTATAGACACACACACAGCATAGAGGGAAATGCTAACTTATCATGTTTACATTGTTGTTTGCGATATTCCTTCAAGGAGTTTAGCAGATTTACTACCTGTGTTCAACAGAAGGCACCTCACTATCCAAATTTGCCAATGTCATCATCAATTTAGCACCAACCAAATGAGGCTGTGAAAGGAAAATAACAAAGCACAACTTCATATGGTGCCATTTCGAGGCATAGATGAACAACAGGGGTCACTGCAGTGAAAAATACAAGAAACTCAAAACCCACAGGGAGAGGAAGCATCTATCCATTCCCACTTGTCAACATACGTTTTTCAACGAAAGTCATGCCTGGACCTGAAGTAGTCTTTATTGGGTCAATATTTGTGAATTACAATATAGTACAATTTACATTTATATTCTTGTCGGGAAGATGTCTCAAAGCAAGTGCTTTACATTGCTGTCTGGGCACCCAAGATGGGGGTGAGTGGGAGCTGAAGGGGGTGGGGGGAGGAAAGATTACTGAATTAGCTTGAAATTCTGATATAATTGACTGCATGGCTTTCTGTGGTTCCATGTCTTTCTGTCTGTCTGGGTGAGTATGTGCTGTAGACCGGCCAAGAAGGTACAACATTGAAGGAAGAAAGGAATCATAGAAACTTTACAACAACAACTTGCATTTATATAGCGCCCTTCACCCTGACACGGGTAGCGTCCAGAGTGCTTACTGCACAGGAGGAGACCATTCAGCCCATCATGTTCAGATTAGAGATACTTTTTCCCACTGGAACTACTTTCTCTAATCTCATTTACCCTGACCCTATAATGTTTTTTCTCAAGTATTTAACCACTCCCAGATTTAAAGCCATTTGCGATGAGTCATTAGACTCCTGGCCTCTTTATATTCACCTCAGACCCCTCAGGTGCTTTTAGCCATTGCATTCCTATAGAATTTATCCCCTCCTCTCCTTTCGCATAACTGAACACAGTTTAGCAACGCAGCCCAATCATAGAGAGATCAGATGAGGTGGGAGACGGCATAGGCTTGGAATAGAATCGAGTTTGTGCAGTTACAGTAGAATAAAAGGAACGTCCTATTGTGTGCACAGATCTTTGGCCCAGCGTTCCACTGGGCAAACACTGATGGGAGATGATTGAAGGGTTTCTCTACCCATGCGAGAAGATGACTGTTAGATTCCAGTCTTTGAAAAGGAGCAGGGGGAGGGTTTGGGGAATTAAATTCCTAATGCAAGCTTTTGAGGCATTGGTGAGTGCAAAAATCTCTTGATGCCAGATTAACTCAGCCATCTAGCAAAGACGCTGAAAGGCCATGCCCTTTCATACCTCTTCATAATGTGATTAGGGGTTGTCATTTGGTTCTTAACGCAGGGGCTCATGAGAAGGTTTTGTAAATTCCTTCCAGTCTCTTCCATTGAGAAATGCCTCAATTTCAAGCCAGTTTCATAAGCTTGGAGTCAAAAGTAGAGCAGTTGCTATGCTTCCAGGACAAATGTTGCAAGACCAACAACAAATAAATTATTGCAATGAAGTCATGATTCTGTTTGAAGCATGATTTTCAAGGCAAAACGCATTACTATGTGGCAGCTTACTTTTCCAGCAGTCTCCTAGTTTAGAATCGCTGAATGTTGTAGCACAGAATCAGAATATTTCACGCATCAAATCTGCTCTAACGTTTTTCACTACATAAGCCACCTATTCTGATCCCGCTCACATTCGTGCCCTATTTCCTTAATATTCCTCTTTAATCCTTTTTACTAGGCAACTGCTGATCTGCCTAGTAATGCTGTGTTTACCAAAATGCCAGTGCCTAAATTGTTTGTGCATGTATACACACAGATTTCAAATATATTACATAAGATCATTGCATCCTTGTAAATGTG